TGTTCTGTGCACAGAGTCTGTCACCCCCATCCCCATTGTTGCCCTCCTCTTTTCTTCCTCCTTTCCCTTCTTTCAGACATTCTTAATTAAACAAGTCCTAGGGCCAGAGAGATGATGTTCCGGGAGTGCTGGTGTGTGGTGCCCTTGCAGAGGATGTGCATTTGATTCCTGGTACCCAGGCCAAGCTACTCACAGCAGTCTGTAACTTCAGCTTCACTGGGATCTGATGCTTCCTGGCCTCCACAAATGCTGGTCCCTTCACACCTATGTACACATAATTAAACAATAATATCAAAGAAGAATGAAGAAACAAATTCTTAAAAAGTTTGCTAATATTTCATTTAGCAGCTAAGAGGTCTAATTTGCTGGTAGATCAAACTTTAAAGGCTGTTCGACCAGATAGATATCTTTTAAGTTCTGCTGTTCTTGGCTCAGCTTTTTGTTTTTAAGATCGCATCTCCTTTTGTTGTCCAGGCTGATCTAAAATTTGTGATCCTCTTGCTTCAGCCTCCTTAGAAACGTAGTAGCAGGTGTGAGATACCATATCAGGCTTCTTGGCTAATTGGAAACAGTATCTTTACACCAATGATAAATTTTGTAAATTAAATGATTAATTTTTAAAAATTTGTGTAAAACATCACTTTGCATTTTGTAAAGATCAAGTCATTACTAAGGAATCTGACTACAAAGGTCTGAGCAATAAACTACATTTTCATAAAATGCATGCTATGGTTTATTGTCTTTTTGAAGGGCTGGGCATCCGACCTAGGCTGTCACTCTTGCTGGGTGTGGCTCTACGGCTTGGTCGCACCCCCAGTCTGCAGCATGTTTTATAGAGAAACGCTGAAGTTTCTGTCTGAAAATGAGTGTTATTGCTACATGGACAGTGAGGCTGTCAGTGCTGGTTTTAACGCTGGTCCATATCTGCAGCCAGGCTGTGGTTCAAGTCTTAGAGCAGCCAGTTGGGGACTTGGAGTGGAAACCCAAGGCTTGACCTTTGAACATGGTTTCTTGTTTGGTTTTTAGTTCTCCCGCAGCCCCTAAAACAAGCATGATTTTCTTTTCTGCTAGTGGCCATGGTAAAGTGGATTTTATACGTGGATTCTGTTACAGTTTTTCTGTTTGCTCACTTCTTGCTTGAACGTGACCAGGGAGGTGTCTGAAGCACATATCTCTGGTGCAGAGCCAGCTCGGGAACACCTGGTTCATTCCTCTCATTTCCTGTTGCTACAGAGCTATGGAGAGGCTTCTAGGGATGGGGGTTTGCACAGGGGGCCAGTGCAGGGAACAGAGATGCATCAGACAGCATGCAGAACCAGAGGACGTGCTGAATCATCTGCAAACCCAGGACTAGGACAAGACTACTGTGCCACCAAAGGGACACTGATGTGCTATAAAGCTGATGTAGATTTCAACTATTGGTCAAGCCAGGAAGTTTTCACCAATAAAACCTATAATAAATAAGATACCTTCCTGGTGTATGTCAGTGTTGATAACTGTTAAAATACCCCTGCCCTGTTCCCATAAAACAATAAAGTGTTTGCAGCATTTCCCTCCATTCTGCACTCTGGATCCTTCTACAGACTTGATGAGGCTTAGATAACAGATCTGATAAACCCATTAATTTCCGGAGTCTGTTACTGCCCCGTGCACAATTGGCACAGACTTGATGACTCGACACTTAGGTTTGCCATTCAGAGCATCCTTAGCATCCTTAGTTTCATGATTTGAGATCCTGGCAAGGACCGGCAGACAGTTGGGAATGTGTCCTAGTCAAAACCCGTCTCCTGCCCCTTCTGGCATTCGGCCAGTAACCTCAGTGGTACAATTGGTCAGCAAGGTTGCGGCGGGACCTTTGAGCTTCCCCTGGTTTCCTTCCATTGTTTCAAACGTGATGCACATGGCTTCTGGAATCAGAGAGAGGGTGAATTTCACTCTGGCCAGAAAAATGATCTCTTCCTTCCCTTAAACACGCATGTGCATGTTCTCACAGTTAAAGGGGTGTCCTAATGGTGAGTCCTTAAGGAATTGTGCAGCACATTCTCTCAGTGTGTTTCATACCTATAGTGCTATTAGTGGAGGCTGCGTTCATGGGAACTGCCATTATTTTTCTGCTTGTGTTTTAATTCAAGCTGAGCTCTGAAGTGGGTTAGTGCTTCTCGATGCTCTGGAGGACACCGCTGTTCCCCCGGGTGCTGAGCTTAGATCAAGTCTTCACTCTCATGGACACTGGAGGACTGTGTTAATTACTTGTCTCATTGCTGTGACAAAACGCCCGACAAAAGCAGCTCAAGGAAGGAAGGATTTATTTTGGCTCAAGTCCCAGGGCACAGCCCATGGTGGCAGGAAGTCTTGGCAGCAGTAGCTCAAAGCAGATGGTCACATCGCATCCACAGGCAGGAAGCAGAGGGAGACGAGAGCTGATGCTCCACATCTTTTCTCCTTTTTAGTTAGTCTGGCATTTGGGACATCTGACCATCTCAGTTAATCCAATCTGCAAACTCCATCCCAGACATTCCCAGAGATGTGTCTCCACAGTGATCCTACATCCTGTCAAATCGACAATCAATATAAACTGTGTAACCCGTGCTCTTCATCACAGGAAGGAGCCCGGGCTCACACAGTCGGTTGCAGATGAAGTAGATGGCAGGCATCCAGACCACTGACCTTTTCTGGGAGCAGAGCTGTTTTGGAATATAAAGTTATACCACTGGCTGACAGAAGACTATCTTTTCTTTCTTTCTTTCTTCCTTCCTTCCTTTCTTTTTCTTTCTTTCTTTTTTTTTTTTTTTTTTTTTTTTTTTTTTTTGGTCTGCTGAGTAGGGAGAGACTGGGATGGTGGGGAAATCAGCAAATAATTGTACCTAAATAACTTTCTGTGTTGCCCTTACACTTCTGACAGGTGCTTCCAGGAATAGGTAATTCCCCATGTGTTCTAGGTGATTTCATTTGTCTCTTCCTCTACACCAGGCCAGTCACTTCTGTCTGCTCCCAATCACCTTTCCTCAAGCCACAATCTGTCCGGTAGTTCCATCATTTGTCAAATCCTTATTATAGTCACCTCAAAATGTCCAGGCTAACAGACTAATTTCAGCTCTGCTCATGACCATGGCACTTTTCAAGCTTCAGAGGCAGGCAGTGGGGCTGCTAGCTGCTCAGAAAAGTAAAGAGTGGGACATCCCCTGATTTAAACTTCAAGTTCATTGCAAAGCCAGATTACAACTCAGCCTTCTCGATGCTGTGTGCATGAAGCCCAGCTCTGCTCTGTGATTTCAGGCTTAATTGAGAGTCCCTCACTCTCTGAACCATCGGGCTGCCCTTGACTATGCATCTTACTCATGAAGTAACCTTGCTATTTATCAGAATTTTTAACCAGACCTCCCTATGATTCTCCCCCCCCCCCCCCCCCGCACCTAGGTATGTCTGAAGGTAGGCTTTCAAAACAGAAGAAAGAGCTATTTATCTAGGTAGCACGGGATCTGGTTTCAACAAAGACCCATTCATAAGTGCATTGATACATTTGTCAAGTTTTCAGTGAACAACTTAGCACGTACTCCTTAGGTGCTGAGATCATAGTGGTAAACAAAATAGGAAAAAGCTTTCAGCCCTCATTTTATATTACCAGTTCCAATATTTTCCTTAGATATCCTGAATCTATATAATATTTTTAAATTATAGCAGTATCTTGTAATGAGAACAGGTTTTATATTTTTTTCCTCCCATCTCCATTATCCCTCCCCCCCCCCCCCATGAAACTAAAGGTTTGTAAGCCTGTAATTGTAATTCTCAGGGCTTTTCTACATGGCTTTCTACTTTCTTCTTTTACTACCTGGTTTGATAGTCATCAAGCAGACCATAAGAGCCCATTCCACATAGAGGGATACTTTCTTAGCCTAGACACGTGGGGGAGGGCCTAGGTCCTGCCCCATTTGATATGACAGACTTTGAAGACTCCCCATGGAAGGCCTCACCCTCCCTGGGGAGCAGAAAGGGAATGGGCTGGGATTCAGTGGGGGGTGATGGGGAGGATGGGAGGGTGAGGGAACTGGGATTGACATGTAAAACAACCTTGTTTTAAATTTAAATTAAAAAGGGGGCGGGGGAAGACCATAAGAGAGGCTTGAGAGATGGATCAGGAGTTAAGAGCACTGGCTGCCCTTCCAGAGGTCCTGAGTTCAATTCCCAATAACCACATGGTGGCTCACAACCATCTATAGTGGGATCTGATGCCCTCTTTTGGTATGCATTCAGATAGAGCACTCATATACATAAAATAGATCAATAAACCTTTGATAACAGAGAAAAAAGGATAATATTAAGAAATGCACTTAATGTATTTTCCCCCTTCAAAGAGGTCTCCTATGTCACCTTGCTGACTGGTTAAGGTCGAGCTTCCCACTGACCCTTTACTCCCTTGGGAATTAGACATAAACTTTTTGTAAGAAAACAAGCATGATCCCACAATTCAGGGCACTGCTAAACAAGCACAGTTCCAAAGCCCCATACTAAAGATCCTTTCTTTTTATCTTTCCCCTCTTCCCCCGACTCTCTTCTTTCCTTCCTTTTAGAGCAAGTCTCTCTGTGTAGGCCAGACACCTCGCTCCCCACCTTTCTGCTTCAGCTTCTGAGTGCTGAAAGTACATTCATGTGTCCGCTATGCCTGCCCCTCGAATCTCGGCATTAAGATCTTGTGGGCTTGGATGGAAACCTGGAACCTGCTTCTCCAAAAAGGAATGTTAAAGAAACGCAGCCATCTTGTTGATGATGTACATGGGTTTCTTTAGGAGGTCCTCAATATTCCAGACCATGGGAATATTACTGGACCACTTACCCTGAACCTAGTCTTAAGGCATGGACTGCCTGTTAAGCTTTCATACCAAAGGTTACCTCATGCTAATTTTATATTCTGATAGTAATCTGAATTTATATACTGTATATGCCTGCTGCGTGATGAAGCTACTTAAGCTTTTCTAAACAGAATCCTTCTGCTGTCTCCACAGGCAATGGTGGCTTGCTATCCGGGAAATGGAACGGGTTATGTCCGCCATGTGGACAACCCCAATGGTGATGGCCGCTGTATCACCTGTATCTACTACCTGAATAAGAATTGGGATGCAAAGGTACTGTGGAAGGGAGGGGGTGGGGTGGGTTATATGTGCCATGAAAGTGCAGGTAGGGGTGCATTGAGAGGAGCAAGCCGTTTTCAATTAGGTAAAAGACATTCATGTGTATTTAGGAGAGTTATGGTTTATGATAGTCTGGCTCCACTGTTTTCTTTTTTTAACCTTGCCTCTGCTTGTGGACTTAGATACCAAAGTTGAGATTAAGAACAGTAGCTAGATAGTTAATTTGGTGGGAAGGGTGATTGTGAAGGTCAGGGGTAATTAATGGGGGATGTCATTTAACACTGGGATGCAGAACCAATGGGAGTCTCAGCTCAGCCTATGATGTATACCTTCCCTGCCCCCCCCCCCAGCAGCAACATTGAGAGAATTCCACAAAGACAGAACTGTAGGATAGCAAACTGTCCCCTGAAGAATTTCCCACACAGTCCTCTTTCTGAGGATGATGTCCCATAGGGAGCCATTTGTAGCTTGTGAATGGCAGAGATCGTATGGCTTATTTTTGTATGGTAGATGGTAGAGATGGGATGGATAGAGATGTAAAGTGTGTGTAACATGGTTTGTTCCTTATATACTCTCCGAAAGCTAAGAGTGACTTAGGACTGTGGGAAATCAGAGACCTTTAGAAGTTTGTTTAGCTTTTGAATTCTGTGCATCTCTGTTTGCTATTTATTAGTGCAGGCTCTGACTGGTGATGTATGTAACATTATATTTCTCCTCTCTATTTGGTAGTGAGATGGAACAGTACCTTTAGGGCTTAAGAGTATCTTTTGGGATGCTATGGTGAGCAGAGTTATTGGACCAACAATAATAAATAAAGGAGAATAAAACCAACAAATATTTGAGTTTCTGCCAGTGCTAGATATGTTATGTAGAAACACTGATGTGTGAAGCCTGATTTCCACCCAGAAGATGATTGTTGCAGTAGGGACTAGTAGGCTGAACACATGAAAAAGAAAAAGGGAGGTGAAGAGAGTGAAAGATGTCCTAAAAGGTGTAGGCAGTGTGGTGTGAGAGTTCAGGGAAGGGTCCAACCAAAGAGGTCAGATGGGCATTTGAAGAACTCAGAGGAATACTTTAAGTTGTTATTTCAGGGGCAGCTGTATGTGATGAGTGCTTAGACATATTTGATGGAGCTAGGAAATTGCTTAGGATTTGTCTGCTTGCTTTTTTGGGTTGAAGCATTCTGACATGGCCAGTTTTGTGTGATGCCCTCTGACTGTCCGCTATGTTGTGTCTGTGGCCTTCCTGGCTGTGGGAGTTGGAAGGTGCTGATTTGAAGTGGATGAGGAGTTATGTATAGCTGTATATAGCTAAGCTGTATGTATTAAGCTGATGTAAGTTTAATTACACAATATAAGGGGAGTAAATATTGGGGGGGTTAAAACCCATTTAAAGTTGAGATAGATGTGGCATTTCTCTTTGATAGAGCTAACACTCCTTGTTGATAAACGATGTGAGACCAGGAAATAACTCCCCCTTTTCTTGTTCTACAGTTACATGGAGGGGTTCTGCGGATATTTCCAGAAGGGAAATCATTCGTAGCAGATGTGGAACCCATTTTTGACAGACTGCTGTTCTTCTGGTCAGACCGCAGGAACCCACATGAAGTTCAACCCTCCTATGCTACCAGGTAAGATCCAGGGCCACAGTTCCTATTCCAGAACATGTGTGGGATTCTTCCAGAACATGGGTGGGCTCCCAGTTCCCGGAGAACTCTTAGAACTCATGTCCTATACTAGGAAGTGCTGGTCACCCCCAAACTGATAGGTCAGCCTGTTTGGAGTGATAGAAATTGAAGGGGCTCTTTAGGATTCAGTCATGTACAACCCTAACTTCAGATTAAAGTAACTATTCTGTGAGTTGTGCCCACTGCTCTCAGTTCCTTAGAATGTTTTTCTCTTTCCTTTTGTCCCTTCCTCCTTTCCCTTACGGGGGAAACTTCTAAAGTTGCTTGGGTACACTCCAGTTATACCAGCAGTCAGAGATGTAAACAGGAAGATTGAGAGTTTAGACGACATGAGCTAAGTGAGACCTAGGCTCAGAAATGCCAAGTAGCAACAAACACTTAATGTTGAACTAACTCTGATTATCACATATCAAAAGTTCTGTTCCTTCAAGTTTGTCAGTTTAAGCAAAGAAAGAACCTTGGGAAAAGAGAGTCATTTGTTTTAATTCATTCCTTTCTACTCTTTCTGTCTGCCTGGGTGGACATTAAAGCTTGCCTGGGATAACCTTATTGGTGCCATAACAATTGGATGTCATAGTTTTGCTTGCTGTCTGTCCGTCCATTCATTTTTGAGACGTCGGCTGGCCTGGAACTCTGCATGTAGCAGAGGATGACCTGAGTTTCTGATCCTCCTGCTTTTACCTCCTTTCTGAGTGCTGAAATTACAGGTCTGTGCACTGCACATGGTTCTTGTGATGCTAGGGCATTCCGCACGTTATGCAAGGTCTCTATCAACTGAGCTACATCCCCAGACCTACAATTGAATTTTTAAAAATCCTTCCCCCCCCCCCACTTTCCCCTTCCTTCTGTCCTCCTTCTATCCCTTCCTTCCTCCTCCCCTCCTCCTTAACACATGGATGTACAGATTTTTAGAGTCACTGGAGACTTTAGAATTGTCTTATCTTAATCTAGAAAACTCTGACAAAAATATTTATGTATGCTTCTGCCTCCAGTTCTCTCCCAGCAAGCCCCGTGGGCCAGGCAGAGTGTGGAGTGATGCAGGATGGGGCTTCTGCTGGGAGTAGTAGTGAGACAGGGGAGAGCTATAGCAGGGCAGTGCTAAACCTTAACAAGCTTAACTCAAAGCCATATGCACAGCCCTCTAGACATCTCCGGTCCAAGCCCCAGAGATACAGATTTGGTCATACTGGAACATGCCCTATGCAAACAGGCCACTAGTCCTTACCACTGAAGTCTACTTGTGGCTTGTTTTGTGGAGATCAATAATTGGATCCTGTTTTGTGGCAGGATTCTCTTGTTATTTCCCAGTCCCTCTGTGACCAACTTCATAGGGAAAATATCAGTAAAAGTGGTTTAGAAGCCCTTGGGTTTTTACTGGAAATTTTAATGGATATTGTCATGGCCGACAATAAATATAAATGTAAAAGTTTTTTAAAATGCAAGCATCAGATGCTTCAATTACAGTCTGTCCCTTGGATAGGATAAAGCAAGTAGCAGGAGGGTAGCTAGAACAAAGTCATCAGAAGTGAACTGTATGTTTTCCCTGATGTCTAAAACTAAAGAAAGCAGGCCTCAAGCTAGATTCTGTGACTTGTGAAAACTCCACTCAAATGTTACCTCCCCTGCTCTGTTCCCTTCCTGTGTCTTGGAGCCTCCAGTCTTTAGCAGAGCAGGTCTCCTCCAGTCCTTCCTGTGCAGGTTACATATCCCGGTAGAATCACCCACTGGAGCCCGAGCGCTTAAAGTGGAGGTTCTAGTGACAGTATCACTGAATTCCCAGTGCCTGTCACGTGCCTGGAGCCCATGTGTTATATGACATTTACAGAGCATTGAACCCTGAGGAAATGATCTTAAATTAAACTAGGAGTGGACTTCCGAATAAGAGGAGGTTTTACAACTGGTTTTGATGTATACTTCACAGAGTGAATTTGAAGGCTTTGGTGTTTTCTAGTAACACGGGCTTGTCTTTCACAGGTACGCTATGACTGTCTGGTACTTTGATGCTGAAGAAAGGGCAGAAGCCAAAAAGAAATTCAGGAATTTAACTAGTATGTGTCTAATCATTTTCTTTGACTTTGGTTTTTTTCTATTTTACAATACACTGTTTAATCTCAGTTGTAACTTAGCTTCGCATATAGTGATATCTGAAATGGCCTTCATGCTCTTAAAAAAATAAATAAATCAGAAGGAAATGCAAGGGGCCTTCCCTCTCAGGGTGCTCACTGAGGGGGGATGATTTGTAATAGATGGAAATAACTTATTGTGAATGTTAACCAGTCATGTGCAACATAAAACTTTGTCCATGAATCTGGCACTTATACAGAAACTGTCGTGGGTCCTAGTTCCAATAGCTAATTTATGTTCATGTGGGATTTGACTCAATATAAAAATGCAAGTATACATAAAAGTGTGGGCTCTTACCAAACTGATAGGACAACATCATTCCTGTCACCTCCAGCCAGTATCCATAAAGCACACTTCTTGGTTTGGTTGCACTAAGCTGAGCACAGTAGAACCAGTGTTTTAGAGGCTGAAGCAGGAGGATCATGAGTTTGAAGTCAGCCTGATCTCTTGTATGAGGACTATGTCCTGCCTCACCCAAAAGTTGTATAAAAGTAGTAATTTTGCCAGGTTGGTTTATGAAAAGGTAAACTCCTGGCTCTCCAAGTGCAGGAAATGCTGTGTCTGTATCCTTCTTTCTAATGAATGCACACACACCTAAGACATCTTACAGTAAGAACTGGAGAGATAGCTCAGAGGGAGAGCGCCTACCTAACACATGGAATGTCCTGGTTGCAGTTTGCTGCACTGTCAAATAATAAATGGGTGTAGCTTTACCTACCTCAAGATCTGTTTGACCTCTATTCCGATCCGATGCCAAGGAAGACACCATTGCAAAGTTCTGTCAGGAATCTCAGTTTGCTTTATAAAATGGGATGTTGTTTAACAGAGAGAGAGAGACTTGGTGACATGTTCATCAAATTTGACTCCTAACCTCTTTTATTTTCTTTCTTTTCTTTCCTGTCACCAACCCAGGGAAAACTGAAGACTGACTGGTGTGAAGTCCGCTGGCCTCATTCATTTAGTAGTGGTTCCTGAAATTTTAAGAGTCAAGAGCCAAAGAGTCTGTAAAATCCCCCCCACTGCCTCCATCACTTAATCCCTGTCTTGTTTGTGGTACTTCATGTTTTCTTGCCAGGACTGTATTGACCTTCAGATACTCTCTTTGTCAGATGAACTCATTAGCTAACTCTAGAAATACCTGCCAGCATCCTTTATTGGCCAGCGGTTTAATTGATAGATTTGGGGATACGGCTGTTGAGACAGGAGCCCAGGAGTGACTCTTATTTGCACTTTATATATATATATATACTTCCTGATTTGAAAGGAGGAGGTTTGCAAAACACATTGGTGACAGATGACACAAAGAGGCACCCTTGAAACCTTAGCAGCAAGAAGCAGAGATACATATCATCTCAACAATTTCCAGATGTTAACCTGAGACTGGACGATTATGACAACCTAATGACATTATTACCTCTAGAAAGAGCTGCTGTCATTGTGATCGATTTATAACTGTCCCATGGTGGACACTCCTTTTTTTTTTTTTCTGGCCCTTCTGGACTTTCTAAGTCAATGACTTTCTTGATGAAGATGACACCACCATTCCTCTCTATTTTCACTTCTTACTTGGAGAACCTAATTATGCAGATAATAAAACTGGCTGTGTAGTTTGGATTGTTTTTCTGGCATTGAAATTGGAAATTAAAATCAAAGGACAGAAATCGTCCAGGTAATTTAGCATCAGCTTCTGCTCACTGTGTGGACAGAACAAAGCCTAGCGCTACACAATACCCATGTGGGCTGCAAACAGGTTGAGAGGGGAGATGAGATTGGAAGCGCAGGCAGTCCTTTTCGTCAGTATTCCTTTTAACCCTTCATTATTAGCTACAACAAAGAACAGCGCGCTGTATTCTTGAAAGAGATTGAAATAAAAAAGATCTCAAAGCTGTTAAGCGTTCTGCCATGTGGTCTCCCCCTACCAGCCTTTCTTTGGCCACCTTGACCCTTGAGAGCAGCTGGTTGGTAGTGCTGCCAGACTTGTGGGATTCGTTTTGAACTGTGGAAGGTTCTGCTGCTCCAGGAAGCAGTTACCACCTTCCTCCAGAACTCTGCAGTTAGTACCTATTTTGGAAAAGTTACCCATCCTAGTTTTGCTTCTACCTCCTCATCTTTCAGATCACTTTCATTTCTTGCTAAGATCCCACAAGCATCAAAGACCCGGAAATGTTTTTTCCATCATGTTCAGATGTACAGACTTTCCAAGAAAGAAGCTGATGTTTTTCCTTTAATCATTTGGGAAAGTGTTCAGGAAGAACTGTCATTCCTTCTCACCATGGCTCTGTTTTATTTTATGTAGCATTTTCCACCTTCTAACTTACAATGTCCTTTCCTTATTTATTATGTTTATTGTCTTGTAGCCTATGATGTCTAGAGCAATAAGTACAATGGAGACAGGGACTTTGTACATTTTTGGTCAGTGAAACATATTCCCAGCACCTAACCCAATGCCTGGCATATAGCAAGGGCTTAGTAAATATGTGTTCAATAAACTCAGTTTCCTCTGTAATGGCTTGATTCATTTTCTTTGTCTTTGGCAAGAAAGGCTTGTTGGGTTTTATATCTGTTTCTAGCATTTAGACTGCATTTCTTTCTTTCTTGGATCTAAGACAACAGTTCTCAATCCGTGGGTCATGACCTCTTTGGGAGGGTCAAACTACAATTTCACTCACAGTGGTGGCATATCAGATATCCTGCATGTCAAACATGTATGTTACAATTCATAACAGCACAATTAGTTATGAAGGAGCAGTGGAAATAACTATGGCTGGTGTCACCACAACACAAGGAACGATATTAAAAGGTCCCAGCGTTAGGAAGGTTGAGAACACTGCTCTAGGGTCTCATACTGCCCTCTTCCACCATCATGGCCCCCTGTCATTTCTATAAAGTTAGCCTGAGAGCTTTAGAGAGCTCTGGTCACAGTGTCATTTCTTCCCTGTTTACCAGTGAGTAATCATTCACAGGTGCCTGTCCCACACAGCTGAGGCTTGATCTGACAGGGATTGGAAAGACAGAATGAAAACAGGACAGACAGACTGGGATCAGGTAGGCTGTGCCCACACACAGACCGAGCAGTTCCTCCTAAACAACCGTGGAACCTTATTATATATGGTACTGGAGGAGTTAGCTGGTCTCAGGAGATCTCTGAATTGGATCTGTCTCAGGCTGCAGTCTTCTGAGGAGAAGCTGCTGCACATACTATCAACATTAGTGCTCCGACATCCTCCTGAGCCTCACCCACACAGGGCAGGCTTTGCCATCCTGTGGTCTGAGGCATTGGACCCTTGACATGGCCGTGTCCATATCAACAATACACCTTCACTTGGGTGCTGGAGAGATGGCTCAGGGTTAAAGGCTAGGCTTACAACCAAAAATACACCTTCTCTCGGGACTTCATCCACTCTATACATGAGTACCCAGGGCTGCCCTTCCCACACAATTCAGTGCTGGAGGAAGGTAGATAGGTCAAGTATTTCAGGTTCTGTAAAATTGCAAATATCTTTTCAGGATCACAACACTCTTAGAATGATAGTCACGGTATTCTGAAGCAAAGTGACACATACCATTTAATCTCACACTATGAACTGTTGCCCCTCCTGTCTGTACCCCCGACCCCCGAGAGCACTATAGCTGATGATTGTCATGTCCTCTCCTTTACCAGATTCCTTTCTACTTCCTGCTTTGAATTCCTGCCTACTGTCCAGCTGAACTGGAAAGACTAGGGGGAGCCAACTTTAGCTTGTGCTGTGAGGTGTGAACATGTATCTCTCTAGATCCCTGTTGAAACCTCAACCCCAAGGTACTACAAGGCGGGGCATCTAGGTAATAAGGCCTTGGGGTTCACAGTCACGGTACGTAGAGAAGAGCTCTAAGGAGCAGGTTCAGTGCTTCCCTTGGGCATTTGAGGGCAACAGAGTGCATGCTAAAGAGAGGGCAGCCTTCTTTTCATCCTGCAGCTCTTGACACCTTAGCCTCAACTAGCCAAGGTCCTTTAGTACAAAAAGCCAATTTCTGTGGTTTATTAAGGACTCAAAACAAGGTATCTTGTTAGAGAACAAGAAGAAAGAGCTCTCTAGGGGCCACAGGAAGGATGCCTCTTGTATCTGTGAGGCTCAGGACTTGCAGGTTTTTCTTTATCCTTTTGAATACATCAACACTGTCTTTAGGAATCCAGGTTTCTGATGAGGGTCCCAGGGAAGTCGTGATGCATTTTCCTCTCTGAGGCTCATGGGTGTTCATCACATGCTCAAGATGCTTTGGAAACAGTATTTTGTTAGACACCCATAGTTTGAGAGAGGCCCTCAGCCTTTAAAACTCACAGTTTAAAGCAAAAGGATTTGAATACCCTTGAGTGTAACAATGATGAGGTCTGTAAAAGCCAAATGTTACAGATTTTAGGGTCCAAGTCATAAGGACACCGAAGCACCCCATGTTTACTCCCCAGCAAGTGCCACCCATGGAAACACAAAGCTGCCAGACACTTGCCGCTGTTATGGTTGCTTTCATTATTGTAAAGTGGAAGAGGTCTTTGTTATGGGGTGAATGAGAAATGTCCTGCATTTTCTCATGAATCTTTGCTCCCTGAGCTAGATTGTTTGATGTCAACTTGACACAAGCTAGAGTCATCCAAGAGAAAGGAACCTTAACTAAAATAGAAATTGCTTCCATAAGATGGGGCTGTAGGCAGGCATGCAGAACATTTTCTTAATTAATGAGCAAGAGGGGAGGGCCCAGCCTATTGTGGGTTATAGCCTACCACCCCTGGCTGGTGGCCCTGGGTGCTGTAATATAAGAAAGGAGCCGACCAAGCCAGGAAGCAGCATTCCTCCATGACCTCTGCTTTGATTCCTACTTCCAGGTGTCTGCCCTGCTTGAATTCCTGTCTTCTCAGTAATGGACTGTTGCCCAGACACATAACAGGAATAAACCCTTCCCTTCCCAGGTTGCTTTTGATCATGTGTTTTACCACAGCAATAGAACCCTAATTCGGACTGTCTCCTTAGACAAAAGTTTTGAGAAGTTTGGGGACCCTTGAACGTGGGGCCTAGGCGGAGGTGTTTGGTCCTTGGAAGGCACAGGGAATCGTCAACACAGTGGAAGCAGTTCTTTATGACCCTGCCGAGCCCACCACAAGGTCTTCTCCATCTTCTGAAAGCCCAGGCCCAAATCAACCCTTCGTAATTGCTTCTTGTCCAGGGTTAGGGAACAGCCGTGAGAAAGTCACTGTGGGTTGTGACTAGCTGTGATAGTGGCCATCGTGTGACCATGTGTGACCTCACAAGGAGCCATTTCGAGAAATGATAGCTGTCCACCCCTATCAGGCACAGGTTGGGGTGGGGGCGGGGGTAGCTGGTCCTTACTGTGAGGAGAAGCTGCCAGTTGGCTGTCAAGCAGTTGGAAGCTCAGGTTCTGACACAGGTGGATTTTGTCAATCTTCTGAAAGACACTGACTGGTTTTCTGTTTTGAACTGTACAGAGTGTTTCCTGAGTCATTGGTTTAGGATTGTGAATTTTGATTTATATTTTTAGTTGTAGATTTTGGTCTGACGTTTAGTTTGTGCTGTTACTTCAGTTTTTTTTTTGTTTTGTTTTGTTTTTCACTGCACATTTTTCTGTTCTTAATTCTTGATTTTCTTTGGTATTTAATTTTTTTCTTAAAATTTTTATTTGTAGCCGGATGATGACAGCACACATTTAATCTCACAAATATGAGTTTAAGAAAAACATATTTTGTGTACAGATCATGAGGTCTATAGTAATCAAAGTTACCGAGAATGTTAGGGTCCAGTTTAAGCAGCCAGCGCATCCACTCTCTAACTAGTCAGTGCCCATGTTTCCAACCCAGAGAAGCACAGAGCTTCCTGTGTCTGTCTGCATTGTTCTGCTCTTATTAAAGTCAAAACATCCTTATGGTCTGAATGTAAAAGGCTCCATACCATCTCATGTGTCCGAATGATTGACCCTTACTTACTAAGTTGTGCTCTTTGGGGAGGTGATGAATCCCTTAGGAGAGGGAGTGAGTGGGTCAATTAGGTCACTAGATGGGGGCCTGCCAAAACCATGTAGCCAGCTGTTTCAGACCCATTTCCTGAGCTAGCAGTTCTACCATCTACCATAGGATGCCCGTTATCTGAAAGCCCAAGCCAAAGTGAATCCCCTCTCACTCTGCTTCTTAGCAGAACTGATCACTGCCATGAGAAACGTAACCAATACAGTCCTTGGGGACAGATAGTTCGAAAAGCCACTGTGGGTTGTTTCCCATTCTCCTTGGTCTGCTCCTTGCTGTGATAGAACCATTGAGAGGAATGGCAGACACCTGTCAAGGGTTAGAAACCAGCTTTGTGGTGGTTGAACCACAAGAGGGAGCCAGGCCGGAAGTCCAGGAAGCGTGCACCAGAGCACCTGTTGCGTGTGGGACATCAACCAGAAACCAGGCATGGGCTCCTGTACCCCTCCTCTCCTTGCTGGATCTGAGCTAACAGCTCGCTCCTTCACTTCACTGTTATCCCAGCCCCACTGGCTGGAGAGAGATGTGCTCCACATCTTATGAAGCTACAGGCCTCCAGCTTCTGTAATACATACGCGATCCAACACCCACAGTGAGTAAAGTGTGTGTCCCATAGCACTTCACTAGCTAGCTGCTGTCCTCAGCCCCACCAAAATCACCAGTACCCAAACAAACAGAAACCGTAAGCCCAGGAGGAGGAAGATGGGCAGGACGGGAGAGAAGACGAGGGGAGGGCTGAATGGGACACTGTGAAGAGAGAGGAAAGGGAGAAGAGGGGGAAAGAAACAGAGTAGAGGAGAGTCCGTCCAGAAGAAATTCCAGTCACCTGTGTGAGGAGAAAAGGGTGGATGAATCCGGCTGGGGCAAACCTCCCCTGAAGAGCAGAGTGGGAGGCTGCAGGACACAGCCAGCCATGAGGAGGAAAGGGTTTGTTCCCAGTGGAAGCTGGCTTGTGCCAGAGTGCACAAGGGAGCTGCTGCCTTAAACCATCTCCCAGGCATTAGCCAATGCACAGCCAACAAATGTGCTTCTCCTTAGTGTGTGGTACCCACATCAGGGCCAAGATTAGCAGGAAGCCATGATGGCCACGGGGCTGCAGCTGTCAGCAGTAAGGTCTTTGATAGGCCCTGCTACGTGAGGTGCCTGTAGGGTTCTCCTGGGTACCTTCAGGCTGGGAGCAGCTGCTTACACCTTGTGCTGAATGGAGGGGGCTAATCGCTGGCTGCTGAGTGTGACATGAGTCAACTATGTGTGGCCTGTGGTAGAAGAAAGTCTCTAGTGCCTCACAACAGGTCTGAGTTGAGAGATGAAAGACATAAGGCAGTTGGAGCAAGCCTCCCAAACCCCCCAGGTGTCATTGCTGAAGGTCAAAGGATGCTTGAGAGACTACAGAGGTATGACTGGGGGTGGGGAGGCTTCTGGTCTGTTTTAATGGACACACTGTCCCCAGACCATTGTGGAGCACCAGCACTATTGACCAAATCATCCTCCACCAGCAC